TGTAAAACCCAAAAATTTCGAGGAATAAATAATGTATTACTTCGATTTTATTCATATATATATACATATATATAATCAATTTGAAACTTGAATAAGTTAAATCTTGCTGATTTTGGCCACGGCTGAAGGCTCTTATTAGAGGAAGGCCAGCTGTTGACGTTGGGAGAGGCAGGAGAGGGCAGGTGATGCCTGGTCCCTTTGAGGAAACTGTGACCTGCATGCTTGCAGAGGGCAGTTCACAGCCAAAAACCCGGGATTTGGCCGATTTGGTCAACTAATAGGCCAAACCATTTGAGTAAAAATCGTGGGCACTAGCTTAGGGTCGTTACTCTTTGACAAGGAGAAGGAAATCGTTGAGCCTGAAGGAGAGAAGCCAGAGTTCATACCATCAAGAAAACCCCTGCTTCCCGTCGTTTAGAGGTAATTACTCGACCCAAATTTTATGATGATACAAGGCTTAGTCATGCCTTTGGCCCTGTATAGAATCCTAGAAGGCTYACGTCCAAACCTTGTGTTTTGGGATTCGATTTCAAGGATTAAGATTTCATTTGTTAAACACGTTGTATCGCATCCTACTTAGAAACCACCTTAGAGAATGTTACACAGAAGCTCTGCATAAGAGCTCTGTATCAAGTGTGTTAGACAGAAGCTCTGCATGAGAGCTTTGTGTCATGCTAGCCAGAAGCTCTGCATGAGAGCTTCCTATCAAATTATGTTGGACAGAGGCTCGGCGTAAGAGCTCTGTGTCAAGTTATGTTAGACAGAGGCTCTGCATGAGAGCTCTGTGTCAAGATATGATAGATAGAGGCTCTGCATAAGAGCTCTGTATCAAGTTATGAGACCACAGAAGGGCTCTGGTCCTGAATGAGTTATTTTCTAAGTATTATAGAACCAGAGGCTTTGGTCGCGAGACAAGAGGCTCTGGAGAAGAGACCACAGAGGGGCTCTGGCCCGTGAATTATTTTCCAAGTATGGTTGGAACCAGAGGCTCTGGTCGTGAAAGACCAGAAGCTCTGGAAGAGAGACC